GGCAGGGCTCCCTCTCCCCAGGCCCAGCCTGGCACCCACCCAGCCTGTCTTGTTGTGAGGTCAGGTCTTCTGCTCCTGCCTGGAAGAGAAACCTCATAATTTTGAAAGGAGGAAACCAGTAAGGGGAAAGTGACTGATATGCAACTTTGCATATCAGCTGATGGTTTACCCCCCGTCTGGTCTGGAATATAGGAATGCAGCGGTTGTCTCCTGTTATCCGCAGGACAGAGGCGGGGGTCTCACTGTAGTCTTGGCTCCTGCCCCGACCCAGGCGTCTCCCTAACTCAGAAACCCAGCTTCAGGGTCCCTGAAGGAGAGGTGTTCACTGTTGTCACTCTGGAGCCCACATCTCAGCTGGGCTCTTCCTGTTCTGCAAGACAGAAACTCCAGCTCAAACCCACTTAGCTAAGGAGAGAAGTGCCGGCTCATGGAACTGAAAAGCCCAGTTTTCCAGGCCAGGTTTTGAATGCCTGTTGCAGGGAAGGCAGGTGTCTGGCACCCAGAATGGCCCTGCTCTACCCTGACTCTACAGCAGCCGATTCCAGCTTGCAGGAAGCCTCCCACCTTCTCCTCTCAGACTTTTGACCCAACCCAGCTTGCCAGAAAAGGTGCCAGGGCCATATCTATTTGCCATGGTCCCAGCTTCTTCCTAGAGTCAGAGAGACTAATCCCTAAGTTGTTTTTAGGGTTCAGCTGAGGAATCTCTATATCACCTCCTCCTTCCTTGACCCACACTACCATTCCTTTTACTCTGCATTCAGTCACATCCAGTGTTTATTGTGGTGTATGTGTGAGTGTGTGTGTATGTACACATATACACATCAGAAAATTTATTGCTGTGTGTAAGAGCATGTCTGTCACACTGGGATGTGAAGTTTCTGAAGCTCGGTGCTGTGTCCCACTAATGTTTGCATCCCAGAATGCCACGCAGAGCTTGATATAATAGATGCTCAGAAACCTTTGTTGGATACATGAGAGAGTGACAGAATGTGTGGAGAATGTGATGGGGTCTTCTTAGGGGAGGGCTGGAAGGCGATGCCTCTTCTGAGAAGAAAGCCCTCCATGTTTGCGTCTCCCTTCCCCATGGCTGCAAGGTAAGGTCATACTGGGGACAGGACAGTGCTGAAGACACAGGGATGCAGGGGACATGGAGGTGCTGGGGACATGGTGGTTCTGGAACATGGTGATGCTGGGGATGTGGAGGTGCTGGGGACATGATGATTCTGGGGACATGGACGTGCTGAGGATAGGGTAATGATGCAGATGTGAAGGTGCTGGGGACACAGTGGTTCTGGGACATGGTGATGTTGGGGATGTGGAGGTGCTGGGAATATGATTCTGGAGACATGGAGGTGCAGGGAACATGATGATTCTGGGGACATGGAGGAGCAGGGGACATGGAGGTACTGGGGGGCTGACATAGTGATTCTACGACATGGTGCTGCTGGAGGACATGATCATTTTGGTGGCATGGTGATGCTAGGGATCAGGGTGACAATGAATCATAGCAATGCTGGGGACATGTGCTGTGCTGGGAACACAGTGATGCTGGGAACATGGTGACTCTAAGGACATGTGATGCTGGGGACATGGTAATGCTGGGGACATGGGGGTCCTGGAAACATGATTCTGGGGACATGGAGGTGCTGGGGATATGGGGATGCAGGGCACAGGGAGGTGCTGGGAACATGATGCTGGGGACATGATGGTTCAGGGGACATGGAGGAGCTGGGAACATGATTCTGGGGACATGGAGGTGCTGGGAACATGATTCTGGGGAC